TGGGGTCCGTCGGACCCCAAGTAGCTTTTGCGCTTGGGATTTGCCGAACCCCAAGTAGCTTTTGCGCTTGGGGTCCGTGGGAGCGTTATTTAATTCTTAAAAGTCTAGATAAAAATAACAAGATATTATTCTTCCGGTCATATCGCTAAAACTCGTTAACGTTATTTTAACAGTTATCTTAATACTACGAATATTCGTTATATAAACAATGTTCAAAAAAAATTAATTATATAAATGTGTAACGAAGATTAGTTATATAAAATATAATATACTAAATGAAAAAAAAATAGAATCTGAAACTCAAAGAAATATATGATTTAAAAAATTATTGTGTATAGACTTACATTACGATTAATCACATTGGAGAATGATGTCAGCATCCCAAATCAAACATCCAAACGAGGGCTGATTTTTCTCAATCAAAGTTGCTTACATGTATAATCTCGGCGAATTTCCATTATCGAATAAAACCATCGAACAGATACGCGGCATGCTTCCTCACGTCTCAAGGATTCGGTTGCCGCGTCGTCGGTAAGGATTGTCGGAACTCGACGACAGGATTAGACTTTATTTGAGCGCGTCTCGTTAACGGTACCACGCTTTATCTCCGACTGCTGACATGTTTCTTCGAAACACACGTTACGGTCAAGAAATTAATATTTCTTTGAGCGCGAGAAGAGCGCGTCGTCGGTTCATCGCAACGATAACCTCGGTGTATCTCCGGCAGCGTTTTCATTTATCATGAGATGACCGTTGAAGCGGGTTAATAAAGGAGCCGCGCAGACTTTGCTGTCCCCTGACTTTTGATGAGCTTCAATTTATTCGCAAAGCTTACGGAATATAATAAATGCCGCTTCTCTCCTGCACAAGAGCGATTAACTATAGCGGCCGGATTGCGTGCAGGCAGATAGCTGCGCGTCTGTAAACGACAGCCATTATACTTCCATTTCGCGAACGAACTTAATGAAACAGATTCGTTGAATGTACAATTATGCGCGTGTATGAAGCAGTTTGTTTTACAGTCGGGATTACTACATCAGCAACTTAATCGCTTTCTTGATTCCCGGTACTTTAATCAAAAGTAAGAATTCTGTTTTTTTTTTCCTTATGCAATATATTATTTTTAAAATGTGGGGTATTACCCAAAACTCTAGTTAAAAAGTCAGAAACGCAAAAAATTTTTTTATCTATAGGGTAAAAAGTAATTAATGAAAAAAAATGTTCAAAAATTATAATATTTATACAAAAATTATTATCATTTTATTATTTTTTATAATTTTTACTGTGAATATGTAGAACTTCTTATTACCGATATTAAAATAGTGTTTTGATATGTTAAAACATGTTTGTTATTATATAATTGGTGCAAAACGATTGGTAATGTCATTGTTCTTTAATTATTTCCGAGCCCATCGAATTCACTTAATCGTGACGAAAATTTACTCATGGCTGTCCATCTTTAACAATACCTCGTCGATGATACAGCTAAATCCTTGTTCTTTGGGAATCACAAAAAATAGAAAAAAAAATACAAGATAGAAAAAAGGACGAGAAGCGCGCTAAATTCATTTTCCCGCACAATGCTCGTTGCTTTTGTCATATTTCAAAACATGAGCCATCTCATTGAGGACCACATCGAATTTCATGAATATCATATCAGGTATGTCGCCACATATATGTCGTTTTAAAGGCCAACTCTTGATTCGAATGCACGATAAAGCGAGATGTAATGTCAACTCGGCTTATTTTGTGAGCCGAGTTACATTCCCTCGGAGAATACGGCGCCGAAAATGGGATAGAGCACTAAGAATAGATCTGCGGTTTTGTGTTGGAAAATCATGTCGCATCCACTTTATCTTATTCGCAACTTCCGCTCGATTCTCTTCAGGAAGAACGGCGGGAGGGTAACGGCTGCGACTATCGGCCCGGCAAGCCTAAAAAAAAAAAAGAAATCCGTTATAAAAGCCGTAGACCGATTTCATTTTATCGCGACGTTGTCATCGGCGAATTACCGCGTAAACCGCCTGCAATGTTCGAGTGGATATTACGTTGGATTTGCAATAACTGTAAGCGTTTCACGATTTATATCGCATTTCGATCTCGCGCGACCATAATATTGAACACAGCGTGCGCGCGCGATTTGCTAAGCCTCTTACCGCGCTGAACAATATTTTTGAAAATGCGTGCTATGTTTTTTGCTTTTAATAGTGCAAGTTTAGTCAAAGATTGTTAATCCGACTAATATCTATGACATTTATTTATAAAGTAGATAGTTATATTCTTTGTTTTCATTTTTATTATCGTTATTAATATTTAATTTTTCTTGTGATCCGCTTAATTAATCGTAAATTTGTATTATTAATATATATCAAAATTACGCACATTTTTAATGCAAAATGCAAACCGTTCAATGATTGTTAGCTTGATTCAAAGGCATTTATAGTTGCGATTTTTCTCGAAAACGGATATCGTGGGCCACGAAATCAGCAAGCAAGTAGATTCGCGAAATCAGTCGTTGAATTGTGGCCAAAAATCAGAAATAGAAACAGGATTCGAGGCGACTAGTTTTGGACTACTCGCCAAGATTTCTTACTTTTTAACTCATCGCTCCATTTTTTTCTTTTTCCTCTATTCTTCCATCGCGTTTTCTCCTATTCCTCTCTTACCAACACACGCAGTTCAATACACCATATCATCTCTTTCGTTTCTGTCCACTTTCTCGCAGAACGATAAATTTCCCGGACTTAAATCCCGGTCAGCGCACGACCACGATCACCATCGACCGCTTCCGCTTCCATGGTGACTATGTACCACGCGCCGAACGGGGAAATGCGGTTTGTACAAGCTTCGTGCCCCCTTGTTTACCGGCCTGACGACATATTTACGAGAGCTGGATCCCTTTGATTCAATCTCGATATTTGGTTCGATTCTCTTTGTCGCTCTCGGCATCCTATACCTTGCGTCGTCCCCGCGGGACGAGACTTATCAGACACTTTCGCCGCTTGCTTTTTTATGCCGCACGTCCTCCCTCCCTCTTTTCATCTTTTTATCTCTAGTATCGTTTTATTCGCGTCTCACACGCTGACGTCGTGTCGGAGTAAGCGAATTATTAAGAGCGCACAGCACTCCATGAAGCCATTCATTGTTTTCCACGCTGAATTTATCGTCTTGGCGGCGTCTCGTTAAAACCTCCTCCGTACCATGCAACGGACTAGTTTTGGGCGGACCCCTTGGCGTACGTATCTGTGTACTTGTATCCTGAACGTAAGCACGATACACGTTCCCGAATTAACTCGGTTAAGCGATAATCGATCGGCTTCTGTGTCTTTGCGTTCAAGGTAAGAAGTAACAAAACCATGCCGTTACTTCAAATAGTTTTTAAGAATGTTTTATAAAAGAAATAATACACTTCTACTAAAAACTGCTAAACTTTAGTCTTTGACTGTGCCATGGTAGATGGTAGATTGCTTTCTTATCTGGAATAATCAAGATTTGAATTTGATGTTGTGATATAATAAATTTTTTAAAAATTGTGAACAGAAAGTAACATATGTTGATTAAACAAATATCACAAAAATCTATTCTATATAAATTCTCTATCACAGATGTCAATTTTATATTTATAGTAATTTTTTTTTAACGGACAGTACATGTCTCGCAGAATTCAACTTATCATTTGTATGTGTATAGTATGATATATTTACACGGAAAAAAAAATTTTCGCTACCATAGCTAATCATGGTTTGCAAAATAAATTTCTAAACTGCAGCAAAACGGTTTGCTGTTGCACTTAATAAATAGGTGTCACAGCTAAGATGTTCGCTGTCCATATATTACGACTGAAATCTAGTTACCACACGCAGTTTTTAGCTACGGCAGCTAATTTTTTTTTTCCGTGTATATATCAGAATTTATATATATCATATATGTCAATTTTAGAATGATTTGATTTCGTATTAGGTCGCATAGGAAAAATTATAGCAATCCTAAGCAAAGATGAGAGAGAAAGAGAGATAAAGAGAGAGAAAGAAATTCTAAGATCTCGTCATCACTAAGAGCAGAAGAAAAAAAGTGATATCGGAACTTTATTATGACGTCATAAAAGGGATAGGCAGTACGATTGCCGCCCTTCATTTGTCATTCGGTTCACGAACGCATTCAACCCTCTTCAGATTATACGATAGCAAGAGGGAGTCAACGTGTCACGTGTCGAATTTATGTATGATTCACATCGAACTTTCTGTTCGTTTTCAAAATTATCATTTGGGACAGGATTTTAAGCTATGTGAATTGTTATACAATTACGTTACATTTTTTATTTATATCTCGCTCCACTTTTTGCTATATAAAATATCTTGTAATTGATGACCCATACGGCAATCAACATTTTAATCAATCCTCTGTGTCTGCTGTATTAATTGTTAATTGAATGTTTAATAATTAAAATATTGTTGGTAATTACGGCATGAAATTGAAACATAATAACGTGGGTAGATTTTCAAAATTAATGGTCTCAAGTATTCGATATCTCGAATATCAAAGCAGAAAAAATATCAAAGCAGATAACAATTAAAAACTTTTATATTCTTTTAATTAATAACTAAGAATTTTTTTCTTATTGCGTAAATATATAAAAATACGTATCTGTATCTGCAGATTTACGTACAACATACTATAAAATAGCAATTTATGTAATATATATATACGCATATACAGAGTAATTGGATATATTTTATTTTTTAAGTAATACTACCTTTGTAATTAAAATATTCTTTTTTTTAATAATGTATATCTTATCTGCAATATAAATCAATTTAACATCATAATAAGTACGAATGTTGATGCAATAGGCCTTCAGTTTCTACATAATTTACTGCTGTAATTATGACATTCGGAACGGCGGAAAATTGACAGGACAATAGACAACGCCGGGGATATTACGAAACAACGGAACTGCGATTCAACGATCAAATTCATATCGCTGCCTCCCAAAATTTCAGGTTTAGCAATGACAGCGCCGGCGATCGGTATCGATCTGGGCACGACCTATTCCTGCGTCGGAGTCTTTCGTCATGGCAAGGTGGAGATTATCGCCAACGATCAGGGGAATCGCACCACGCCGAGCTACGTCGCGTTCACGGACACCGAACGATTGATTGGCGACGCGGCAAAGAATCAAGTAGCCATGAATCCCGTGAATACAATTTTCGGTAAGCTCGTGCAGCCGTTCCTATGCAGATTTGCATCGGAATCCCCGACTTTTGCACAAACTGCACGGACATGCCATTTCGATAGACTTTACGCGATAGACTAGTCGCGCGTAACCGTGACAATAAACTTCGATTTGAATTTTGACGACAGTGTTGAAATCAAGCGATTTAGCAATGTTACTGGCGAAAACGATATATCCGATTTTTGGTTTTATTTTTACTCGCATTTCCGATATTTCGCCATCGTTAAAATGAGGGGAGAAGGAATCGCCGGAATTGCCGATGAAGTCGGTAATGCACTCGTTTTGGCGCCGCCAAATCGACTCGCAGTTTCGAAATCTACTATCGCTATGCGGATATGACTAGTACGCCGTAACAGATCCTGTGTATAATGTTGATAATAGCCACAACCGTTTCCTTTCAAAGTGGTTGTCTTAGTTGGATTTGTTCACCTCCGATTAGGCGATTATATCTCAACACAATTTACTCGATTATAGCATTATAATAGAGAATGATGCGTTTAATTCTAAAAAAAAGTAACAAAAAGGCTGACAATCCTTTTAAATTAATTTAAAATTTTTAAAATTTTTATTTTATAAAAGTAGAAAAAATATATTTTAATTTACATTTAATAGTAAAATAACTCTAAGAAAGAAAAATTATGTTTTATTATAATTTTTGTGTATTGTTGAACGCATTGCGTGTTATAAATTCTCTTTAAAATTAATACAAATGTTTGGCAAATGCACTGGAAGATTTAAACAAAATTATTTCGCTAGATGCTAAAAGATTAATCGGTAGAAGATTCGAAGATTCATCTGTGCAATCCGACATGAAGCATTGGCCATTCGCGGTTATCAATGACGGAGGCAAACCGAAAATCCGACTGCAATATAAAGTGAGCGCACAATTAATTACGTAAATAAATGACACAGAAAAGCCCTTTCTCTCCCTCCTCCTCTGATATACGTTTAATGAAAAGGAAAAAAAAAAAAATACCTGCCGCACGTGGAGAACCGAGTCGGTTAAACTGACTGAGCACGTTCCTTCCTTCATAAGTTTCATCCGGGTAAATGTTTTTCATCCCCGCGCCGCTCCATTAATTACTCGTTGCGTATTATTACAAGGGCGAAGTGAAATCTTTCTTCCCCGAAGAGATCTCCTCAATGGTTTTGACCAAGATGAAGGAAACTGCGGAAGCTTACCTGGGTACGGCCATCAGGAACGCCGTGGTCACGGTCCCGGCGTATTTCAACGACTCTCAACGTCAAGCGACGAAGGACGCGGGCACTATCGCCGCCCTGAACGTCCTGAGGATCATTAACGAGCCGACCGCAGCCGCCATCGCTTACGGACTTGACAAAAAGAGTCACGGTGAAAGGAATGTTCTGATCTTCGATCTCGGCGGCGGTACTTTCGACGTATCAATACTGACTATCGATAATGGTATATTTGAAGTAAGTTTGCGTGTCCAGTTCGGATATACGATAAGAAAATAATTCACATATTTCAAAATGACTTTTTTATAATTTATTGTTATGGTGTAAAATATTTACAGTAAGCAATGAGTAAACAATATATATAGTAAACAATATTGGCATTAGAATTATATATTTCATGTTTAATTTCAACTAATTGCTTATCAATACAAAATGCTTACGTTACAAAAACTTAGCGTTAACAATATATACGTAATAACTTGCTTTTTTTATCTAAAAAATAATTTATAGCAAATATAAGTTTTTAAGCTCTAACACCACATTTTATAATTTTTCTTCTATACTCTCTTTAATGTTTATTTTTGATTATTATCAACAATATTTTTTAAAGGTTAAAGCAACAGCCGGTGATACTCATCTCGGCGGAGAAGATTTCGATAACCGTCTCGTCGCACATTTTGCGCAAGAGTTTGTGAGAAAATACAAGAAAGATCTGATGAAGAATAAACGAGCTGTTCGTCGGCTGAGAACCGCCTGCGAGCGTGCCAAGAGAACGCTATCCTCTTCTACGCAGACCAGCCTCGAAATCGACGCTTTGCTCGATGGCATCGACTTTTACACCTCGCTCACGCGCGCTCGTTTCGAGGAATTAAACCAAGATCTCTTTAAAAGCACTCTGGAACCAGTGGAAAAGGCATTACGCGATTCTAAAATGAATAAGACAGAGATCCAGGATATAGTTCTTGTCGGTGGATCAACAAGGATACCACGCATTCAAAAGCTTCTACAGGTTAATTATTATGTCTCATTATCTTGTCTTTACCTTGATATATTGACGCGGATATTTGAAAGATATAATTCATTGAAAACAGTTCGCCATTTCATCAGGCAAATTAACATCTGTTGACTCAATTTCCTGTGATGAAAGCCAAGATAATATCAAGTGTTTATGTTCGGTGACAAAACACATTAAAATTTGATTCAATTTCCATGCGCTATTGCCATTCTTTTCTCCGTCCCGCTATACGGAGAAAAGTTGCAGGGGTGGTACGTGCAAAGAAAACACGAGGCTAGTCCCCAGGTGTTCGTTACGGCATTAATGAGCTAGATGACAAAATCAACAGACACTCCTGCTATTCCCATCGTAACTGTTGGATAAACAGGATATATTTTTATTTGATAGAATTCTGCGAACTAATGACACTTAATTTTGAACCGTTCTCTTAGGATTTTTTCAACGACAAGGAATTAAATAAATCCATAAACCCGGACGAGGCTGTGGCTTACGGCGCGGCAGTTCAGGCTGCCATTTTACACGGCGATAAGTCCGAAGCCGTGCAAGATTTGTTGCTGCTCGACGTGACTCCTCTATCGCTTGGCATCGAAACGGCTGGTGGTGTAATGACGGCTCTCATCAAACGCAATACAACTATCCCGTCGAAACAAACGCAGACGTTTACCACATACTCTGACAATCAGTCGAGCGTGCTGATACAAGTTTACGAGGGGGAAAGGGCGATGACCAAAGACAACAATCTTTTAGGAAAGTTCGAACTGTCTGGCATCCCGTTGGCATCACGAGGGACACCTCAGATCGAAGTAAATTTTGCAGAATATGACAGTCAGACAATATCGGGATTTTAGAGATAATCGAAATACCAGAAAATATAAAAACCGTAGAAAAGATGCTTTGATTTAATTTTTATAAAAGCATTTTTTTCTAACTTGCTTTTCAATTTATTTAATTTTCTTTGATAAATATAAACTCTGGTTATTTAAGCCAAAAAGAAAAATAATATATATCTAAAAATCTATCATCGGCGCTGTATCTAATTTCGGTGGTTGAATATTATTCGTAAAACTGCGCATTTGCAAACAATCAAATTATCACGATGTTTTCTTAAGAGATATCGTGTGGAAAGACGAAATTTTTGTAATATTTAATATTGAATTTTGCCACAAATAATTTTTTCTGAGTAATACTGTCAAGGTTTAATACATCAGAGTAATGAAGTGACAGAATGCATTAATATACTGCTGGCCATTAAATTGCAACACTGTATATATAAATGTGTATATATATATAGTGTTGCAATTTTAATGGCCATCAGTGTATAAACAAGACAAATAATACATGACTAGATATTTAATTATGCTTGAATTTAATTATTCCTATCGGCGTCACTTTTTGTTGTCCTCAAAGGAACAGTTGCTTTCTTGTCAAGACTCGTTGCAGCGCCTTCTGTACCGCAGTTGACCGCTTTAATGATCACCGATCAGTAATTAAAAGAGGAGAGCCTTCAGGGCTCAAACCGCTAATAAACGTTTCCGACGATCGACGTTGGAGATAAGAAAACAATCCTACGGGGCAATAGGCTCCGGAATGAACTGTACTAAGATGCGAGTCTTGCAATAAAAAAAAAGAAAAAGAGAGAAAAAAAGATTCTCGAGAGAGAATGTATAGCTCGGCTCAAAGGATAAGAGCGGAGGCAGAGGGCGATTCTCATGTCTCGAGATTCCTTTCTGCCCGTTGCCATCGGCGCACGAATCGGAAGGGGCTCTATTGGAATTGTCAGACTGTTCGGATAAGCATCCGGATGCTGGCGGTCGGAACAAAGTCGAAGGGGAGAATCGAAAGAAAGAAATCGAAAGAGCAAACGGCCAGCATAGTTGAAGGAAGGAGACTGAGCGAGGAGAAGGGATGGCGCGATTTTTACCATGAAATTTTTTTCGCTCCCAGGTTACATTCGACATTGACTCCAACGGCATCCTGAATGTCTCAGCGACGGAAAAATCGACGAATAAAGAAAACAAAATAACGATTACCAATGACAAGGGACGCCTCAGCAGAGAAGATATCGAGCGAATGGTGAGCGAAGCGGAAAGATATCACGCCGAGGACGAGAAACAAAGGGAAAGAATAATGGCTAAGAACAACCTGGAATCATATTGCTTTAATATGAAGAGCATAGTCGAGGAAGAAAAGGTCAAGGAAAAGATACCGGAGGCTGATCGAAAACGCATCAGCGAAAAGTGTAACGAGATTATCAAATGGATGGACACAAATACGTTAGCAGCAAAAAAGGAGTTCGAGACAAAGCTGAAAGAAGCTGAGAAGGTATTCTTGCATTTTTTATTCGGTTCTACGTATCTATGATAATGGTATAACCGAATGATACTGAAATAGATGTAGAGAGACGTGATTTTATATCGTGTTTAGCGCGGTTTTTTTAGCTTTTTTGGAATAAAACTATTTAGATCTGTTGATATGAGAGATATAAATATACTATGGCATTATTATATATGTATATATGTATATACATGTATATAGTTGTTCAGAAATAGGGATAGGTGGATAGGAGAGAGAAAGAGAGAGAGAAACTTTGAGTATTAAAAAATTATATCGCAAATTCATTAAATAAATGTATATTTTTTTTGGTATACCTGTGGTATTATAATCACGTAAAATTATGTGAATTCATTCCAATTGCAATATTAAAGATAATAACATTTTTTTTTAATTTTACGGTATTTTCTTGGAAATATTACTTCTGAACATGACTGGTATGATATTTTCCGTTTGATGGTATTCATTTTTTATTACCTACTATTACCCAGAAATATCTTGGAGTTTCTATATTTTCTACTATTGATAATGACAAACCATTAAGACAATTAATGTGAATACATACATCACATTATCATAAATATAATAATTTTCAGATATGTAACCCTATTATAAAAAAATTCTATGAAAGTACCGGTGCTGTACCAAACTTTCCAGAATATGGCAGACAAACCGCTGCTGGTAACACTAGTGGTGGTCCGACTATCGAAGAAGTAGACTAATTATGCAAAATAAATTATGAGAAAGAGTAAATATATCATTGGACAATCGTACAATGTGATTTCAGAGTTTTTTCATTAATCAACAATTTTGATAACGATACTATCTTGAGATTATAACTACAAAATATTTGTAATAAAATTTAATAATTTCTAATAAAAATTAATTTACTATATATTAATTATAGAACTAATTTATAACATTTCTACATTCATTTAGACAAGAAATTATATAAATTAAATTCTAAATATATCTTTTTAAAATTTTACAAAATAAATGAGAGTTATGTATATTTATGCAACTTTAGCTTTTTGGCTTAATGTTTCTTATTCTAGCAACGCACAAGAAGGCAAAGTCAAACGTAAACTTCCGTAAGACTGACAGTCTTATTTTAATAACTTCTTATTGGTAAGCAAAACAGTTTTTTATCGTATGAAAAAATAGACACTTCATTTATGAATTCCAACATGTTATTTATTGTAAGCGAGCTTGAGAAATGTAATTACCGTAATTATCGTAATGATTTCGTACACATTTGTATAGGATAATATTGTCAGACTAACAACGACCTAGCGTCGTCGCTTACAAGTGACGCGCGAATGTGTATGTGTAATTATTATATTGCTTTCGCATAAAAACGTAAAATTATATATGGTAATATTTATACAGCGAGAACATTAAATATTAATAGTCTTTAGAGCTATAGTGTGTGATAGCTTACGAATTATATATAATGGAACGTTTCTTCTCGTAAAAAATACATATCCAGAGCACCATGTTTCGATTAATTTGTTATGTACAACAGCTGCGTCTGGCGGGGACAGGGGAAAATAAAGAAGATGACAATCGCATTCGATATTGCCGCCGCGCGGCGTAATGCTGCTCGCAAATACATTATAACGGTGGTTGTTACATCCGATTAACGGCAAGATTATAATATTCGCCGCAGCCGATTCGCAAATATCGAGAGACAAACGAGGAACAGAAACTGACTATTATGCCGCAAAATTTTATGCCCTGTACTCAGTCTTTCTCATCATTATCATTATCGCAATTGTTATCGTCTGATTTTGGTTTGCGACACTTTATCTTTGTATCCATGCTCTATTTGCGATTATACCGAGTTATATTGTTTGAGATCAAGCGCGATTTGCTTTGTGAACGGGCAATGTGAAGAGGGTTTAAATGCGCGGGGCCAAATAAAATCGGACATTTCTTTGAGTCATGAGGCATGGTTGGGATGGATTTCGTCTCGAGATCCTTGGGTCCTCGGTAAATGTTCCATTACCAAGCTTAAAGATTCGGAGATCCATCCTTCCGTGAAATTTCGTTTATAGTCTCTTCTCCGCCCTCGATAGAATAGCGATGAGCGGGGAGGGGGCAATTGGTAATGGAAAAAGGCGTGAGATACAAACGGAGACGTAAAATGGGACAGGAAAAAAGATGAAATATGAGATTTTTTTTTATCGAAGTGACCGTGGCATAAAATTTCTCGCTGAACCATCATGGAGGCTCGAATACGACACGCGATTTTTTTCTGCGGTACTTTCGAGAGTCCTTGGTGGAATCGTATAGAGTAAATAAGATCACAAGCGTCATAGGGGCTGACAAGAACCCCCGGGAGTTAGAACAATACGTAAAAATAGTATTTCGTTGTACACGTATGCGTGTATGTATGTGTACGTATTCATGTGTACGTGTGTAACGTGTTAACGTAAAGATGTATTATATGCATATTTACGTGTATGGGTATGTGTTTGCACTTAATCTACTTATTATTATATACACATATAATGCTGCTCCAGTTGCCTGCATCATTGAGTTATTTAAATGCCGCGCAATTGCTTAGACAAAACGTGAACTCTCCTTATTCTTATATCACATCTCGTATATAAGAAGGCACCACAAATAATCTTAGATCGAAAATCTAGCGATTTGCCTCGCGAACAATAGATTAGTATACTAACGACAGGTAACGTGCATTCTCGGATCTTCAATAGCATCGTCTTGCGTTTCTTTTGCGAAAGGTCCTTTAAACATGCAACGGATTATTAGCATCTTCGAGCGTCCATAGTTGCGTATCTACAGGCGAATATTGCACCGGAGTTACACTGCACAGTGCTATTGTCGCGTTTCTAAATAATTTGCGATAAAAATACACATACATACATATATATGTATAATAATTTTATTGTGTGCAATATATATATATATGCATGCAATATATATATTTTTTAAATATATTAAAATTTTGTTTTTTTGTATAATTCATAATACATTTTATATCCAAATATGTTTTACGAAAAATAATTAATGGCGGCGATTAATATACGAACATATGTATATATATATA